AAAAAAAAAAAAAAAAAAATATCAGGTCTGCTATAAGGCTTCAAGAATCAATTATATTAATTCAGAACAATTCAGATCAATGAAGGCAATCAGGCATATTTAAGGAAATGTAGATATGAGTTACATGGGATTAAGTATATTTGATAGCAAACTGTGTTTAAGCCACATAATCGAATCTCGCAATAGAACAATGATTAAACACAAGAAATCGAAGCAAAACCAGCCAAACTACAGATCAAAATCGAAATGCTCCCCTCAGAGAGAATCAGAATCGCTTCACTCAGAGAGAATCGTAGTAATTAAATAGTCAAAACTAAAACAAAAAAATAAATATTCAAATAAACTTTATATTATTATTTACTTGATATACAATATCGGATAGAACTATTATATTATCTTAAAATAATATAACAACATTTGAATAATAAAATATTTATTTATATTGTATCTCGTGCATTGACGCTAGTATGGTAAAAGAATACTAGTACAGAGCCCGTGCGATGCACGGAGTGCATAATTTTAAGATTATTTATCCATCCTTATAATTATATAAATGAATAAAAAAATGTACGGGATATATATAGTACGGGACTGGTGCGAGACACGGGATATATTTATTTAGGGAATATTATATTATAAGATGTAATATTCAATAAATGTTTTATAGTACGCAGGAAAATTATACAATAATATAGTATCTGACAAAAAGAAAATTATATATTATTAACGACCTTCTTGTACATGATATTAAATAATTTATTAGTAAAATAGTGTATAAGTTGATTACAATAATAAAACAACATGCTCACGGGATTAGTAAAAATATTCCATGGATTGAAGATTTAATGGGATTAAACATTTAAAGTAATTAACTTAGATAATTCAAAAGCCTTCCAACATTGTTTTGACTTTAATATATTACATCATGTGTATACTTTAAATATATTAATATTTAAGGAACTTTAAACAACATAATTCTTAAAAAAATTATTTTAAGGAACTTTAAACAGCATATTTACGTCACTCATGAAACAAATTATATTTCAAAATCATAGTTATAGTATTATTTAAGGAACTTGAAACAACATTGTTAAATATTTACGTCCACGCATAATTTTTTTACAAGTCGAAGGTAATTAATCTCGTTTATTTTTTATTTGTTTGTTTGTTCAATTTTTTTGACAAAACTGGTATCATGGATAAAAAAATTTAATATTAAATAAATTAATTAAATAATATAAAATAATATGCTTCAGAGAGATATAAGATGCGGATAATCCTCTCATACCAAACAACGCGATTTCAAAATTGACTCAGATCCAGCAATCCTTTCCAATATTTCATATAAATAAATATTAAATAAAATGCTTTAAATAGAAATTAGACAATGAATTTTGAATCTGCCTTTTTTTTAGTATAAAGAGGCTTTACGTACATTTTTTGACTTCACCGATTATGAGATTTGTTTTGACTAAATCGATGTTATTATGGAATAAGACAAATAAATAAAGTCTTTTTTATTTTAGTAAAGATTTTATGTACTTTTTTTTACTTATCGGATGTTATGGGATTTTTTTTCTTAAGCCGGTTTTTATTTTAGTAAAAATTTTAAAGAATAAATAATATAATATTATTATCTAACCATCAATAAAATCATTTAATGATGTGATCATTATCTTTTAAATGATAAATAATAATATTTTTTTAAAAAAATATTAATTTTATATAATTAAATAAAGGTTAAAAAATATTA